CAAGTCAGATGAAAAATAAAGTATTGCATTCTAATCCACATAATTCTGTTTTTCTCCTACACAGCCCCACCTCAAACCGACTTGTGAAATTCATTTGGAGATGGATTTGTTTTCCCCTGAAAAAGGTCTACAGCAGGGGTGTGTCAAACTCCATTTCCTTAAGGGCTGCATCAGGGTTGTTTTTTACCTTGAGGGGCCGGGGTGGGCGTGACCTGGGTGGGCGTGACCAGGGTGGGCGTGGCCAGCTTGACAACACTCGTTTTGGGGGCACCTGTGGCTCCCAAGCTCCATTTTCGGCTGCGACGGCCTCCTGTAACCCTCTGCTAGTGAAAGTGGAGCTTGGGACAGCTGAGGGCAGCTCTCCGTTTTCACTAGCAGAGGCACCGTAGGCCAGTGCTTTGTTGTTCCTGGGGCGGCTTCATGGGCCAGATCTAAGCACCCCCTGGGACAGATCTGGCCCCCAGGCCCTGAGTTTGACACCCCTGCTCTACAGAAAGTCTGATTGCCTTGACTAAGTCCCACAGTGAACATGCCAGTGGTGCATGGAAGGAAGATGCTGTACTACTGAGAAGGCAGTGAATTATTCCTGTTTTTCTCAGAAAGGCTCAGGTCAAATCGGACCTCTGGTTGGAGTTTTCAACACAGTTCCTATGCATGCTTGTCCAAACAAGAGGGTGACCTTTCTGAATTATTTTAGCAACCCAAGGAATTCAGGAAGATGGTCTAGTGTCCATGCTGGGTGCTCTGCTGTATCAGTTGCGTGGATGAAATTAGAAGCAGAAGCATCTCGCAGCTCCAAGGAGGGAGTAAAATTCTCCTTCCTCCTCTCCTGAAAGATCATTTCAGCCCAATGGGAGAAGGAACAGAAGGACTGCCTTCCTGCCGTCTGCAGTTCCAGTTCTCCATGGAATCCTTCTTAGGTGCAAATTGCATTTAAAAAAAGTGGGGGGGAGGGCTTAATTTAAATCACATCATCATTAAAATCTCATTAATTTTGGGCTTCACCCTGTTTTTCCGGAACTGTTGTTAGCATAATGACTTCAAGAACATCTCTACTGCTTCACAAACTTGATTGGGGTTGAGAGAAAGGTAAATTAGATTACAGACAGAAGCTTTTCCAGGGCATGTTACTTTTTGCGTTACAGGTATGCTTGACTTTGATTTAATATGGTTCCTTCCTTCCTTCCTTCCTTCCTTCCTTCCTTCCTTCCTTCCTTCCTTCCTTCCTTCCTTCCTTCCCTCCTTCCTTCCTCCCTCCCTCCTTCCTCTCCCTCCCTCCCTCCTTCCTTCCAAGAGCTAACCAAGAGCTGTAGCAATGGTAGTGCAGCAGAGCCTAGAGATGCTACCACATTTGTTAGCAAGTGAGACCCAACAATCTTATGAATTACAGCTCGTTCACTCGTCCTTTCTTTCGTTTTCTCATTCATAGATACGAAGAGGCCCTTAGTTACCATCAAAAGGAGAGAAGCGCATCCGACATACCATTCAAGTGCATGAAGGACACCTTTGGCAGTACAAAAAGGCACAGCACCTGGTCTTAGAGCAGATGGCTTCCAGGGCAGAATTCAAGAGATCTAAGGAGCAGGGCAATCTCCCCTTACCTTCTTCGTTTTCTTTTAATAAGCTTGATGAAATGCTTGCTAAGAGCTGATGTTATGCTATTCATTCATCAACTGAATCAGTTCGCAGATGTGACTTTGGGTGTAGAACCCAAGATAGGTGGTGCTGAATAGGGAGGTCCATATAAGCGTCTCCCTTGATGCTGATAATTTGAGGTTCTGCTCTTTGATAATGCTAAGATTTCTAGCTTCAACTCTGTGGCTGTGTCCACCGTCAGTCATCTCCCAATTGACTTATGTACCCACAACCCAAATTTCCCTTTTTTTTTTTTTGTGGATTTTAGAGAAACCTCTCAGTCTGACCCTGATTGCTGAACACTGAGAGCGCATTCTGAGGTAGGAATGAGACAAAAATAATAATCCTATAATCCCTAGAGCAAAACCATATCACACTACTACTTTCCCCAACACCTTTCTAAGCCATGATTGCTGTGTTCACACAGCATGGTAAGCCAAAACAAGCAGCTCATGCTACAACTTAATGGAATAACACCGTCAGAGTTGAAGAATCTTCTCAGATGAGAAGTGAAATGTCTTCACAGAAAAACCAGAAAGTCCAGTTGGCTCTTAGAAAAGCTCCTTTGGGACCACCAAGACCTGGATGATCGAGACTCTCCATAGACATTCAGCCGATCTGATTCTTACTAAATTCTTTAAAAAAGAAAGAAAGAAAGAAATCCCCTATATCAAGGGTTTTCAAACTTAGACTTGTGGACTTCAGCTCCCAGAATTCCTGAGCTAACATGACTGGAGGAGAAATTCTGGGAGATGAAGTCCACAAGTCTTAAAGCTGTTTGAAGACCCCTGCCCTATATGGTCCTTAACTGATCATAGTGAAGACCATGGGCCATGCTAACTATTTGCAAAGTCTGTACTACTATTACTATTAATCTTCTCATCACTCCTTATCACCCATCCCCTCCCACTTGTGACTGTCGGACTGTAATTGTCGCTTGTATCGATTACGATTTATATTGACTGTTTCCTAGTAGGATTTGATTGCTTATTGTACCCTATGACTATCATTAAGTGTTGTACCTTATGATTCTTGACTCTTGATGAATGTATCTTTTCTTTTATGTACACTGAGAGCATTTGCACCAAGACAAATTCCTTGTGTGTCCAATCACACTTGGCCAATAAA